TGAACAAAGAATGACCAAAGAAGATTCTAGAATCATTCCAATTATAGAAAGGAGTCTTACAATTTAAAAAAAAAATCCCTGTCCTCAGGGAGATGAGCATATCCCGTCTGTAAAACAGTTAAGAGACTGACTGCTATGAAGAAGGACCACTTCACAGACATCTAAAATTTTGAAACAAAGTAATTCTCTGAATTTTGGAAAATGCAGCAGAGAGATTGGGTAATGGAACGGCCATTATCTTAAAAGATAATGTTAATGGAATTCCCCAAGACAGAGTAAAAAGACAAAAATATGGCACATATGTAATAAAATTGAGACATGGCAGAGAATATTAGGTCTGATGCTCGAATAACAGGATGTTGAGAAAGACGCAGGAAAGACTAGAGGAGGAAAAAAAAACGAGGAAGCATCACATTGCAGTGGGAACACTGTGATGTGATCACTAGAACTGAGTTTTGGTTTGTTTGTTTGTTTGTTTTTTTAAGTAACCCAGGCAGTGGTGGTGTAACACCTATAATCCCAGCACTGGGGAGGCAGAGGTGGATCTCTGAGTTTCCGGACAGCCAGGGCTACACAGACGAGAAACCCTGTTTCAGAAAACAAAAACAAAACAGCCACATCAAAAAATAAAAGATATAGAAGAAAAAGATGTTTCCTGAGAAAACTCAGAATATTTGGACTATGAAGACCTACTATGTCCTAGGCTGCAGAAACAGGATGGAGAGAATTCGGTGAGTCTGGTTTGAAAGCGTCTTGGGATACAAGGATAGAACTCTGCCTCTTACCGGATGTGTGAAATGGGACCCCGGGTTGGTGGTCTGGGCCAGAGAGCTTTGAGAGCCATCCAAGGACTTTGGAGAGAAAAAAAGAGAGAGCAGAGAAAAGGACCTGAAAGGAGAGGACAGAAGAAGGACGAATAAAGCAGCTTGGGTGTTTTTCTGCTTCTTCGAGAAGTGTTTTAGTTGTTGTCTTCAGAGAAAATCGATCTAGCACCCAGGGCTCCCGTGGGCAACGCTATTCCCTCCCTACATGTCTTGCGGTTGACACAGGTGAAAACTGCCGGGAAGACCGTGGTGGTGCCAACTACTCAAATGATTCCACTTTCAGGAGGAAATAAATCTTCACTCCCGATGAAACAACCCATCTCTCCAATGACAGAGCTCATGCTAAACCACTTACAACAACAGTTCTCAACCTGTGGGTCTCGACCCTTTGGGGCTTAGACTACCCTTTCACGGAGGTCGCTGAAGACCGTTGAAAAACACAGATATTAAAAACACAATTCATAACAGTAGTCATATTACAGGTATGAAGTAGCAACAAAAATAGTTCCATGATTGGGGGGTCACCACAACATGAGGGACTGTATTGACAGGTGGCAGTGTTAGGAAGGCTGAGAACCACTGGTTTAGAAGCGAATGGCTCGTTAACAATGGGAGATAACGTAAGACTCTCACACCCTACGTGGTTCATTCGGGGTGCAAGTAGGGATTTGGGGTGAAGGTGGTCGTATGTATAGGAGAAAGAAAATAGAAAGAGGTGAGATTCATTCATATAAAAAACGGGCACAGTTAAGTCTTCATCCCTCCCCGCTTGCCATCGGGGACCCTCGTGTAGGATGCCAGCTGAACTTCTGAGAGAGGGCAAAGAATAGGAAAGGTGAGTTTTGTGAATTCTGACGTTACTGCTTCCCTGAATGAAGCCTGCTCCTTCTCTGTCTCACCTTTCTGGGACCCATAGATGAGCTGGCCTTTGGATCTGAAGGTGATTAATAATGCACACGTCCGAGGACATTCTTTGACTCTGCCAGTGCTTGAATGTCATAGAGAAGAGATTTGCCTGTATGTCAGTGTCTCAGCTTTACACACACACACACACACACACACACACACTTCTTTTTCTTTATTCCCCCTGAGACAGAGTCTTGTTATGCAGCCCAGGCTGGTCTGGAATTCACTATGTAACCCAGATTAGCCTCAAATTTCTGATCCTCCTGCCTCAGTCTTCCAAGTGCTGAGATTGCAGGTGTGCCATCCTGCTAGACTCTGTATACCCTATTTCTTTTATTTAAAAAAGTGGTTATTTTTTATTTTATGTGTATACATATTGCCTGCATGGATGTGTGCCTAAGAACTAATGTGTCCTGGAATTACAATTAGAGACAGTTGTGATTTGTCATGTGGGTATTGGGAATTGAGTCTGGGTCCTCTGATAGACCAGGACGTGCTTTTAACCACTGAGCCATCTGTCCAGCCTTGTATACCCTACTAACAACCATGTTTAACTTCCTCTTCCTCTTTCTTAGCTCTCCTTACCCCTATACTAAATAACTAAGGTCACACACACACAAAATTATACCATTGCTGACTCCTGTCTTCCCTCTGAGGGAGAAGGGAAGGAGGAGGGCAGAAGCAGGGCACAGGAATCAGCTGATAGATAGCTTTCCCTGGCTGGAAGAGGAAGAAGATGCTATCTGCCTGGGTGACTACAGGAACCCTGAACCCTGCAGGCCCTGGGGGTAGGTGTGGATTCCCACACATCTGGAGATGGAGGGGCGCTGTATTTTCCTCTGGCTAGTAGCAGGCTTGTTCTCCCACAGACCAATCCTGGAGAAAATAAAACCCCTTTCCTAGCTTGCGGTTGCTCCTGCCGCTGTCACTTTGTTATGGGGGTTAGTGACTGTCCATTAACTCCAGAGAGCTGGTTCTTGCCAGTGCCGCACCAACAGCTGGGAGCCAGAAAGCGCTGACATGGGGGAGGGACCAGCCCCCACCCCGGCTGGGCACTCAGGGGAAGTAAGAGAGGTCACTGGCATGGCTTACTCAGCTCTACCCGAGTGCCAATTAGCTAAGGTTTTTCTGAGCATTGGCTGTGCCTTCCACAGTTGAGGGAAATGACTGTAAGAGCTCATTTTATTTATTTATTTAATTTTTTTTTTTTGTAAAAATAAAATAGAATTCTCTCCACGGGGATGGATCTTTCCTAATCGTCTCCTCTAGTCTTCCTAGGAGGGAGATTCTAGCCAGGGCAGGGTCTCTGGGAAGAGAAGGTCAAGCCGCTGGCCCACTATTCCTTGGTGGGGTAGTTTCTGGCCTCTTGGCTTGGAGGCTAAGATACTACCTCCTTGGTCACTCTAAATACACTGTAGCTTTCCTTGAGAAATAAGGAAAACAGGAATGCCAAGTGTGTAAGTGGCCTTCTCTGCTGCTTCTAGCTTTCTTCCACTCCATTCATAAAATCCACTTTCTCACAGAAAGGCATTAACTCACTTGTCAGACAGAGTGAATGGAAGTGGTACCCTGTATCCGAGGAGGAAAAACTGAGAAGTTTGTGGTTTGGGTCAGCCTCGGACAGCTCCACAGAACACCGGGCCCTGGGAATCTTAGGTCACATCTCTTTCCAGCCTCTCCTGTTACAGATGAGAAAACAGAAAGGAAGGCACCTGCCCGAGACAGTCAGGCAGATCTGTAACCAAACCCAGGGCCCCTGATTTCCAGTCAAACGCTTTGACTGATACATTTTCACAGCTTATCCTTGTGTTTTACAGCCAATTACTGAGTCCTTCCTATGTTCCAGGTGCTGTGGGAGGAGGAGTGTGGAGGGAAGCAAAGAGCCTCAAACAAGACAATCCCTGCCACCAACAAGCTATTTTCCCTAGATCTGCGATTCTTGGAGAAACATAAAAACAAAAAACTATGAGTCAGACTCTCGCCCTATATTATCTCCTATAGGTGTTGATGGAGGAAGGGGGCAGGAAATCCTTTTATTTCCTGGAGCTTTATGAGTTGGACTTCACTGTTTCTGGGACTCCTTAGAGGCTGCAGGCAGAAGGAGCCATGGCTGGACTGCAGAAGAGGGGCTGAGGACGGCCATGACCAGATCACTGTTAGCAGGCCTGGCTTGGGGACCTGGACAGTGAGAGGAGCTCATTGCGGGGAGATGTGTCTCCTGGCATCTCAAGACAGTTTCCTGAGGTGGGCAGATGTCCAGAGTTCTCATCCTCACTTCAGGGACGAGGAAACTGGTTCCTGAGCTTTGTAAACTTGGACAACTGATGCCAGGAATTAGAAGCTGCCAACCAGAGCCTTTTCTACCTCTGAGGGTGGGAGGTTGAGCTGGGTGGAAGGGTGCTGAGAAACCAGTCTGGAGGCCGTGGTCAGACACAGCAGCCAGCTAGTCTACCTCTACGCAGTTTTATTTTCATGGGTCCATTCTGCCACTCACAGAACTCTGTGCTGAAGAACTGGAAGCACTTTGCAGGCCTGAATGAGCTCATGCTACATACTCTTGCCAGAAAGAGAGAGAGAGAATACCAAATGGAGGCTCTGTCGGGGTCATCAGCATTCAGGCATATAATAGAAAACCAGATCCAGGTCCCCTACGTTGTCCTCCCAAACCAAGCAGTGCGATGCAAAACCAGCCCCTTTTCCTGAGAAAGGGGGCCACAGGAAAAAGCTGAGGAACCTCTGTCACCTTTTTCTTTCCCCAGAGAAATGTATTAACCAGTCCTGAGGAGATAGACATCCCCCATTTCCCTGTCCCAAGGGCTATTCCAGGGCAAAGGAACCTAAGAGCAAAGAGATCACAGCTTCTCCAGTCACTCTGGTGACCAGGGTTGGATGGGAGGGAATAGCTGAGTGAAATCCACTCAGGTTTGACCAATGTCATGGAATCTTGGCGGCGACTGATACCAGAGAGTCTGGGAGACTCACATCAGTGTTCCTGCAACTAGTAGGCAAGGTGTCTCAGAGCTGTCTCAGGTCAGGGCCAAGGCCTGGAGCTATAGGGTCAAGGTGCCCAAGTAGGTGCCTATCACAGTCTCTCCCCTAGTGTCACCCAACAAGGAGGTGGAGAGTAGGATAGACCTGGCCAGAGCTCTGAAGGAGTGCAAGGACCTGTAGGGGGTTGGAGCTTCTACACTGGAAGGGCTCCCCCAGCTCTCCCCAGCTCTCTCGGTGCCTAGCTCTGCGCTCCCGCTGCGCCCCGAGACGGCTCCTTACCTGTCGCTCTGCGGACCGTCCCGCCTCCTCGCGGGGTTCGGGAACCGGGCATGGGCCGGCGAGCGACAGCGTCCCTGCCTCGCGGCCGGCCGCGGTGAAGCTTCCAGGAGAGCTCCCTGCTCCCGGCCGGCGTCCCTGCCGCTGTCGCCGCCGCTGCTTCAGCACCGTGGACAGCTCCCGCCCGCCCCCCGCCGCCCCGCGCGCCCGACACGGTCCCGGGAGCCCCGCATCCTGGCTCCGCCGCGCTCAGCTCTCAGCCCGGCCCGAGGCGGCTCCGCGCCGACTTGGGGGAGCGGCGAGGAGGGTCCCCGCCTCCCGCCGCCACCGCCTGCCTCTCGCCTCCGTGCTCCCTTCCACGCTCCAGAATCAGCCCACCAGGCACTCCGGACCCAGCTCCCGGGAGGGGCGGGGCGGGGCGGGGCGGGAAGTCGGGGAGCCCGGAGGAGGCGGCTGCGCGAGGGGCGCGCAGCTGGAACCGGCTTTTCTGTTTCCTGGAGCCAGACCCTCTTCTCCAGCGTTTCTCCCCTACCTCCTCTCACGCACCCCAGAAGTGATGCGCGCGGCCCTTGGGCTTCTTAGAACATTTTTGAGCTCCAAGGCTCCCAAGCTCTGAGTTCAAATTATTGGGTCAGTCCTAAAAGGAGAAACGAACAAAAAAATGTTTATTGAATGCCTACTAAATGCCAGACACCACGCCGGGTGGTTTATTTATTTAGCCAGGGTACTCTCATTTCATTTTCTTAACAATTGACTAGGCACCCTCTCTCTCCCCAAAATGGACGAGTATGCTGAGCTCAACATAGCTTAAATTCCGGAATTTGGAGATGCCAGTTCTGTGTTGGGAAGTATATAGGTTCTATAGCCCATGTTTTTGTGATCCAAGTTTTGGTGATAATTTGTTCCAATCACTGTCTGACCCAGAGGAAGCTACAAAACCTGTCAAATTCTCCAGACGGAATCCACCTATGAGGGGTCATGTAAGGACATATATGTAACACATTGGCTTCCAAATGGCTCAGTGGGCAAGCTATCTCTGCAGTTGTCCCAGGAGGAGGCCTGAAATCTGACCATAGGGTTCTGGTGGCTCTGTGTTCCCCACTATGCAGCTCTTTTTCTGAGCCCCCATAGTTTTTTGTTTTTGGTTTTGTTTTTTAAGCATGGTGATAGCCCTACTGTGAGTGTTGTGAATGGATGGATAAAAGTATTTTTCATGCCTTCCCCTCTACCCATGACAAGGTCTTGAGGTTCAGCATGGTACCCAGAGGTCAGGAAAAAAGCGTATTCTCATTAAAGTAAGGTAAATAGGGATGCGCAAAGGGAACTCCAGACATGCCGAAGCTGGGGCAGCTGAAGGATCCTGGGATCAAAACTCTGCAGTGATCCCTCCCTTCTCTCATGCAGGGACACCAGCCTGCACTGAATGGGAGCTCTAGTGTGTGTAGGACATCTGAAGCAGTTCCCTTTAGCTCCCAGCATGCAGAGAAAGGGCCATGTTCTGGTCTCCATCATTAATAGAGGGTTTGGGTCTCCCCTTCAAACTGGGCAGAGAGCTTCCTGGGGCTAAGGTCTGTCATGGGTCTGGTATTAGTGGCTGACTTGCTTTTGCTGACTCTGCCCACTAGAGTTATACTAGGAAGGCTCTTGGACCACTCATATGTACACAAACCCCTCCCTAAAGACATCATTTCTTGTGTTACTTGGTCACTTCTAGTCTCCCTGTCATAGGCACATAGGCCCCCTTACTTGGCTTTGGCTTCTCTCTGCTTGCCCCCTCCCCACCCTGGTTTTGGTCAATGCCTGGGCTGCTTACTGAATTACTAATTAAAAGGATAATCATAATAATGTTAATAATAAAATAATAGTGAGCCAGTGAAGCAAAAGCCGCACAGAAATTTCAAATACTAACATTGATAATTAAGTGCTGCTGTCTGGAGGGAAGGCTCCAAGAGAGGCCTTTACTTACTGATGTGTCATGGTCCATGGCCTGGGTGCCAGGAAACCTTAGGTGCTGCTCTTCCTTTGTCACTGACTGTGCAACTTCCGGCAGTTGCCTAATATTCCTAAGCCTTCTCTCCTTTAGAATTCTAAACCTTTCTGTAGCTTTGAACTAAGGAAAGTGAGCATTGTGTGATGTGTGATGGGGAATAGGGAATGAGGAACAGTTGGCTAAGGCAGCAATAAGAACTTCTAGGGAAATTACCTTTTATTGCCTGCAAGGAATAGGTGGGACTGAGTCTGTACCTCTGTAAATCTCCAGCGAAGTTTTCTATTTCCTCTCTATATCCCTCCTTTCTTTCTCATTCTTTTTTTTAAAGATTTATTTATTTATTATATATGAATACACTGTAGCTGTCTTCAGACACACCAGAAGAGGGCATCAGATCTCATTACAGATGGTTGTGAGCCACTGTGTGGTTGCTGGGATTTGAACTCAGGACCTCTGGGAGAACAGTCAGTGCTCTTAACCACTGAGCCATCTCTCCAGCCCTCCTTTCTTTCTCCAGCATGCAGTGTGAGGAGTTTATCACCTGAGAATGTAAAGTCTAAGCCCAAATCTAGGTCTTTGAAGGATCTGTACTGGAGGGTTTTGGAAAGTTGGCAAGTAACTCAACACATGGAGAGAAATGCTACCGTGAAGTGTATGAAAAGCCCTCTCTGTCTGGAAAACTCCTAGGAGGCTTCCTGGAGTTAGTGACATTCGAGTTGAGTTTTATTAAAGAATGAGACATCTTCAAGGCTGACTAGGAAGGCTGAAGTCAAGAGACAAGGTAAGAGTCAGACAGGAAAAAGATAGTCCACCAGAGAGATGATGAGAATTTGAACAAGGCTATGTCACTGGGACAAGGAACAAGGAATAGGTTAAGACATTACGAGATGAGAGGCTGACTGTGTGAAAGGGCACAGGAGTCAAGAAGTGACATTGGAGCCAGGTGATGGTGGCAGTGACGGTGGCAGTGGCTGTGGTGGCTGAGGCACACACCTTTAATCCCAGCACTCAGGGGGCAGAGGCAAGCAGATCTCTGAGTTTGAGGCCAGCCTGGTCTACAGAGCAAGTTCCAGGATGGTTGGGGCTGCACAGATTGCACAGAGACCCTGTCTTGAAAAACAAACAAAATAAAACAAAACAAAAAATTGTGATCCCTTTGGGCATTCATATGTATGTGTGTGTGTGTGTGTGTGTGTGTGTGTGTATCACACACACACACACATGCATACATACACATGCAAGATGTCACCACCACCACCTACCCGTCCTTCCAATTTGTCTTTATGGAAAGGTAAATGTCCTGGTGTCAGCCAGGAGAAGTGGGTGAGGCAGAATAGTTCCGGGAGTCCGAGGGAGGACAGAGTAGGAGTCCTCGCTGGGACGGGAGCAGTTCCATGGGAAGAGGCAGTGGAGTCCAGAGCGAACAGCTGGGGGAGATGCCCTGTGTCCTGTTCTCCCCGCATCCCTCTGACAGTCCCCAGGAGAAACTGCATGCTGCTGGGATATGATTTTGTTGAAGTCAGCTAATCTCTTCCCACCTGGGGACTTCCTTTCCTAAGTGTTTTCATGCAGAAACTCCACATTCTTTTCACAAGGGGCTGATTTCTTCCACCAGTTCCCTGGGGAATGTAAATCAGCACCAAATGTAAGGAGGCCTGCTTCACTCACTCTCCAGTAAACCACACAGTCAAGGAGAGACTCCTCATAAGGGGAAAAGCAAGGCCTATCCCTGCCCAGTGAGCCTAGCTCCTCCTACCTAAGTTCACGGTCAAGGCTATGTGTCCTACAGGCCCAGGGTGATGAGAAGGGCAGACTAAAAGAGGGCAGGAAAGACAAACCTTGGGGCTGTCCACTGGCCAAACTTTGTACCTATGGCATGGCTCCAGAAGGACAGGTCTCCTAGGAGGTACATTTGCAGGTACAAGGTACAAGTAGGTCGTTGGAACCAATCCTTGACTCTGGACCCAATAAAGAAGCCTGGCAGCCTTCATTGCTTCTGAGTCAGGTCCTGTGGCTCGAAGCACACACCCCAGTAATTGTGTCTGAAGCTTGTCTCTTAAACCTCTCATTTGGGGGCTTTGGAAGCATGATACCAGCTGCCCACTTCCTCTCTCCACAGGAGATGATAATGCTGAAGATGAAGCCATTTCTTTAGAAACACACTGGTTCGTTACAGGAAAGACAAGGGGGGTTCTCAGCCCCACTTCTGCCCAGCGTCCCACTGTCCAGCCAAGCTGTGCTCACTCTAGCCTGGGGAAGGGAGTGTGTGAGCTAGTGCAATTCTGCCAGGCAGAAGAGGATAACGGTGCAGAAACAGAGCCACCCCGCAGCCTGCACAGCTCAGCCCTCCAGTGCTCTCTGCCATCCACAGGCTGCCTCAGGCTATGGAAGCATTAGTTCATTGGCAGAGAAGCTGCACAGTTGGCACTGTCTCATGTTTGCAGAGCCGAGATGCCTGACTGTGCCTGTGTGAGGGCTTCGGGTGCTTGCTGGGTGGGGTGATCAGTTACCAGCTGATCAAAAGAGGCCCCGACAGGACGAAACCGTGAGGGAGAACACTTCTCAATGGTCTCGCACTCTGCATTGTGAGAAGCAGCGTCTGCTCGGCTGATCTCTCAGTGGATTCCTATCGACATGCATCACTGACAGTGCAGAGATGAGGCCAACAAGTTCTAGAAGTTACTCCCAACTTGGAAAAATAGTCAAGATCAATACCTAGCAAAAGGAGAAGAAATGAAATGGATGGGTAACTCCCTTCCTTCATCCTCGAAGCCAGAGCCTGACTGCAGAAAGGAGTCACCCCGCAGCCTGCCTCTTCACCTTGACCTTGAGCAATGCTGAGGGGGCCCAATCTCCTCTCCTAAAAGATCCTGACTGAAACCTTCTGAAGGGGGACACCCAGAGGAGCCAGGGCTGCTCCTGTGTGTGTTTGCATGTGCATGCATATATGTGGTCATGTGTGTACCTATGTGTAGCTTTCAACATGCCCTCCTGCCTCTTCCTCCTTGCGCCTGAGATTACAGGCATGTGACGTCAAGCCTGGCGTCAGTAGTTTTAGACAAGGCTCATAAACATCAAGTCAGTTTGCCAGCATCGTACCTTCAGTGAATGGCAGGCAAGGCTTGGAGCCAGCCTGTCTGATGCCCAAGCTGATTTCTTTCCTCATCCCTATCCCTGTCCTTCTCACCCTCATCACTGAGGGACCTGGGTACCTAATGATGGAGCAGAAGGAGAGACAAGAGGAAACAACCTTGAAGTGTAGAAGGGACCCGGGCTGGGCAATCTGGTAAACAGGATGG